TAGGGACTCCAATCTCAATCTGCATTCTACCAATCCTTGAAATGCTAAATGCAAGATCTGCTAGGTTTACTTGAAAGAATAAACAAGTAACAGACATTCTTCTTTGGACTTTGAGAGAACTCTTCATGTTTTTCCAGATCTAAAGAATATAATTTATCCAATAGGCAACAATATTTACCTTTTTCCAAACAGCTCCATGTCTCTATTTTGCGAACTCATAAATAGCATTTGAAATTCTGTAAGAATTCTACAGGCCCCTTGGACAGTTAGGAGGGGCAGCCTATTACTATTGGAAACGTTTAAACAGTATTTTTTTAAATACATACACCTACAAAACTGTTTTCCAAAGATATAAAATGATACAAAACTGGCATACCTTCTGGATACTTGTGAACTCTTTATTAACTTCCTCTAACTTATTTGCTATTTGCTCCACTGACTTCTCCAAATCTTTCAACTTCTTTAATTCAGCCTCTTCTTCTGGACTATTCTGTGTATTCAAAAGTACAACATTCACAACTATGGAATAAATAGAGACACTATGCTGCTAAAAAGCAGCAACAGTGGTGATACAGACATAAAGGCTTCTGCTGATTTAGAATACATACTACACTGTGGTTATTCTTTCCATATTTAAATACCTATTTAATAAGCTTCTTCCAAAGCTTAATTACAAATACAGTGAAAGTGGCAATTTATATAAATGCATTAAACGAGATGAATTCGAAGGGGAAAAAGGAAAAGTGCAAACTTCTTTTTTTGTTAGTTTAGCATCTTTAGCTAAGCTAATGCATTTATATCATGAGATACTACCCTTTTCCTCTACTCGGCAAAGCCAGCAATAAGTCATTTCACTAGAAATAACCCAGCAGACTCAGTAGCTACAGCCTTTTTTTTGTTTGTTTTTTTTTTTAACCAGAAAAATAAGATGAGCAGATAAGGTCATCAGTGCACAGAAGGTTCATAAGAACTGACCAGCAACAGAGTAGGCAGAAGCTTGTCAATAATGTAAGGCGGAAGTCAGTCAATGATGTAATTTTAGAAATGTACAAACTGCAGAGTTATTTGCAGAACAATGTGAGATTGAACTCAACTTTGAGGGTAGGTATACAAGATTAGGTTTATGCTGTAACCTGCTTCTGTGTTCAGCAGCTGAACCACTGACAGCAATGATGATAATTTAAGAAAAAAAGGTCCAAGGGCAACACTTACCCTTTTCCCAATTAACATGACTTTGCAACCATTTTTAACACCAAGTGCCGACAACGGTTGTTCCAATTCTTTCAGAGACTTCCCTAAATGGAAAATGAAAGAGGGAAAAGACAGTTAAAATACAGTTAGTGGCACAAGAATGTCTTTTTGAAGACATTCAAACCATGGACACCTGAAACTAAGATGAAAGGTATCATCTACAAGAAACAGACAGATTTATAAGTTACCTTTGTATATCAGTTTCTGAAAAGGAACTGGAACTCCAGTGACTTGTTCAATAAGTACAGCCATGTCTTGTAGTGTAGGTTCACCATCTTCTTGTTGAGAAGCAACCTGAATACTGTGTTTTTCATTACCTAATCAAAAGCAGAGCACTTATTGTTACCTAGAAAATATTATAAGGAATCGGATTCTGATATTTATTTACATTAATGCAGAAAGTTCTCAAATCACCGATTCTCATGTACAATGATAATTTTCAAAGGATTCCATTGCATTTTCTTCCTCTTAGAGTGACTTACCTCAGCTGAAAACTTTGTTTTACATTCTAATAACCTGAAGAGTTCAATAAGGCATAATGCTCCTGCTAAACATTATTCCCCACCTCTTTTTAAGAGTGCAGCAGATGGCATACAGACATCCCACAAGCTGAAGCATGAAAGCCCACACCTTCCTGATGTATTCCATTCCCTACTTATAGGAACTTTTAATTAAGTCTTGGGGGATCTGAGACAATTTATCACTTCCTTTGCTCCCTACTCCTCACACATGAGAAGCAAGTGATGAATGTCTACCCTGTCTCCCCTCCACCAGCCACCTGAGAGAATTCTCACAGTCCAAAAATTATTTCTTCCCATAATACTGCTGATATGCAGCCTTAACCATTTTGAGAAGTCTCAGCCTATATGTCACCTTCTACTTATGGAGCATCCTCTTCAGACTCCCTAAGATTACTTGCATGCAAACAGCAGGAAGTTCTCAGAAAAAAAGGAGTATGTCTGTTAATCTCTGCTTTGTAATAGACCCTTTCTATAACCCTCTGCTCCCACACACTTAAGGCTTGTCAATCTGAAAGCACCCACAGAAATCAGCCACCATTGGCTGCAGGGGAAATGAAGACAGACATTTTTTACTTTGCAGGAACAGAGAACTCCTTAACAAATACCAGAAAGAAAACTATTCCCATGAGCCTAATCTGAAGTGTACATATCTTTTACAAAGAAGAATGCTAGAAACATTGCTTTTAAAATGTTCCAGCCTCTCAGAGTCACATGACAAGTGATACTGTGGCCTCAAAAACCTGCAAGCTCCAACAATATTTCTTAATTCCAAAATGGCTTTAAGCTCAAAATCACATTATACGAACTCTTCCCCAAGCATTTTCCATAAACAGACCTTCTTCCTAAATTGTTTTGGAAAAAAAACAAAACAAACAAAAAACAAAACACCAAACAAACCAAAAATTTAGGTCCTAATCTCAATATATTTCAAAAGGTTGTTTTGATAAATACAACTCCTCTGTGTAAGGGCTGTGCCTGTCAGTAGTTGGGAGAAAACACACAAACAAACAAACAGACAGCAAATGGGGAAGAGAACAGCTAAAGTTTGCCTAGCAATAGAAACAGTTTTAACTATAAATAATGAGTACAACTTTAGGCAGACTGTAACAAAAGTTTTACTGTAAATTCACAGCAGAGTGAAATCATCATGAAAAATATCTCACAGATTAGAACTGCTATTATAGCTTATCAGTTTGCTTCAGTAAATTACAATACTAAAGTAACCACTAGTGCAAGATTCCAAACTCTTTTTTTAAAGTCTAAACCCATTTTAAAAAGTACAATTCAATATCTTGCAGACTGTCAAGTGATATGTGTGGGTCTACTAC